GAAGTAGAGTCAGAATTTTTCAAAGTGTAAGACTTTTTGTCCCGTAAACGAATAAAGTTGAGTAACTGGCACACTGTATTATTTACACCAATCAAGTATTCTGTAAAAAAGTTGTTTTTGGAAAACTCAGCTGTGCGGTAAGCGCTTCTACATTTCACATTAAAAAAGAAGATTCTTTGCTCTAAACCGTCTGCAGCTGGAAATTATTGCTTGATGCTTGACGTTGATACGAATATTACGCAAAAATTTTTTCAATTATGCTTCAGTATCTCTTTTTTTCTCCTAAGTGCAGACAGATAACATTCATATCACAATCATCTTCAGACGGCAGAGATTATTATACAGATTTTTACGGCAATTTTTCTATACAGTCCTTTGAAACCTTTTGCTGACATATTTCCAAATTTCCCGTTGAGTGATCAAATTTTTTCCCACTTCTTTTTGTTTCCGTAAACAAAGACAGAAAATGCAACTTTGCACAACACGACCTTTTGAAAAACTTTTTCAAAGAATGGAAATTAATTTTGCTCAATTATGCCCGCTTTACGTAAAATGCACACAGAATTTATTCTTCGGTGAACGGCGCATATTGTCTTTAAAAAAAAATAAAGGTACTAGAAGTGACGCTAACGTCTTTGTATCATTTTTTTCTTGAAATTAAAAGTAATAGTATTATTTAAAAATTTATTATTTCAGAATATTATTAAGGAGCACAGGACAGATGTAGACACTTTTCGATAATAAAAGTTTGCACACTACAACGGCTTAAAAGCTGAATCAAAATGACACCTTAGCTTCCCTGATACAAACGTTGTCGACAGAAAACGCCGTTTCTGCTTCAGCAGATTTAAAATTGTTTGTGGCGTAAAAATTTTACCTACAGCACAACTGACAAATGTCCAAGAAAGTTGTCTGCAATGTAACTTCATTAGAATTCATAAGCTTTGTTAAAAACCGAGGCTATTAATGAAGCTACTGTCAACCTTTTTTACTCTACTTTCTGAGATTTGAGTGGCTCAGATAAAATCGCAATTAAGTCTGCTTTTTGAATTACATACATTCCAAAGTTATATAAAAAGTTATGCATAAAGTAAACTTGTAACGAAAAATTCAACGCTTCTAAAAAACGTCATGTGAGAAAGATTCTCTACTAACCCTTCTTTCACTTTTCCTCTATATTTCACAAAAAACTGATAGCGAAAAGGGCGAATGCTCAATGATAATGTTTAGTACAACGAAAAAAATTGAGGGGAAGAGTTTTATATAGCTGAGAAACTGACAGAACAAAATTCAGAGTCAAAT